TTATATTTTTTCCTCGCGAGTTATGATAAATAATTATATTATAACGTAATAAATTTTGTTTTTTAATAGATAATAAATAACTACTTGGTAAAAAGTATAGTTAGGAGAAAATGTATTATGATAAGAACGAGCGAAGCAACAAATTTAATCGTTAAAAATAATTTCAAAGATTCAACGTACAACATATTTACCTCTTAAAATAGATATTAAAATAATTCTTAAGTTTATTTTAATGTTTTTCTTTCTGTTTGTTTCATAACACATTATTATTCCTTTATTTAACACAAGCTCAGCATATATAATTTGGTAATAATTTAATTAAGGTATTATTTATCTATATAATTACTTTTAATATCAGCACACATTTACATAATTATATATATATTTATTTATTTGTTCGCTTATAGTCTATTAACCTAATTAACAAACTTGCATTATACATTATGCACTTTCATATTATATAATAATATAATAAATATCATTATATTATAATATTTAAATAAATATACTCTTTATATATAAGGTTAAGCAAGATTTATTAAATGTTATTAAATGTTATTTAATGTTATTTAAAATATAGAAATAACTGAAGAAAGAGAGAGAGAAAAGAAAAAATAGAAAATGAAAGAAAAATTAAGCTATCCATCCATCATCTTCATTTCTTATTATACTTTATTCAGAATCCGACAAGACTATCATCTCTGATATATAAAATAAAGCTAATAGTTTTTGGTATTACAGTACCGCAGGACATTATTATAAATGCGGCATATGACTTGTCGAGTGGATGACAACTCAATTTCAACTTAAACCTCTGACATTGTTTGCGTGTACTTCAAAACTTAACTTCGTATAGTACTTGTTTGTAGCAGGGTGTGCTGCAGTTATGTTCCCCATTCCTTCCTTCCTTGTTTCCTTCAACCATTTCAACCATTTCTACTTTTTCTATCCTTGTTCTCATTATCTAGAAATATTCCAACAGACCAGGTGGTATGACAGAAGAATCACGTGTGAGGAAATATACAATCACCATAATTAAACTGACAACTCGATGCTTCACGAATCATTATAATCATCATAATAATCATCATCGTCATCGTTTATTCGTTCGTTCGTTCATTCGTTCGTATAAATTATTCGATAAACGTTCCACTTTATGGAACTGTGATTTGAGTAATATATATCTATGTATAATATATATATATATATATATAGGTATATATATATAT